GACGGGGGGTGTTGGAGTGTGATTGGTGTATACATTAAGAGAGGAAAGAATATAAGATATAAAGATGAATTGAGTATTATTTATTTATCATTAAATTTGTGCCTGGTATTGTGGAGACTAGGAGAATATTGCTTCCGTACATTAAAGGGACAGTGAACGATTTACAACGGTACCCTTTAAAGCTGTAAATCTTGGAATCAAAGAGGAAGATATTGTCGCTTTTCTATCCTAAAAATGTATTTTACTCTGACGGTGACGACTTTCCTACATAAATCTGCAAGTACATCCTTTAGAGAGCAATCACACATCAAAATAATCAATTTTCAACTAGGGAAATGGATATCCCATTCATAATAAAAAGGTTTAAAGGGCCCTGTCGTCAGGGTCATAAAAAAATACGTCTTCATGTTCCTTTAAGTTGTCGGAATGAATTCAAACTTATTAATGATCCTGTAAACGCACGATAATCAACGAGAACGATGATGAAGACATATTCGTTTCTTTTTCTGCAAATCAAACAAGATGCGCAATGTGTGGATTTTCAAAAGCAATAAAATGATCAATATTTTACTGTTTGTTTTGATGTTAACATTTAATGAGTGGCATGCCCGATTCACAATGGTACCCTTGAAACCATGATCTGATCAACATGGAAAATAATGTCTTGCTTAAAACGTTTTAATTTTGACAATTTCTCCATTGTTTCTATAGTAAGAATTGCTCAAGTCACTTTTGCAGACAACCCTAAAACGAAACAAAAAAGTTTTAAAAACAAAAACGGGGATATCTAATTCATACTTGAGCAGTAAAAGTTTTGTTGTAAATCTGACATTTGAAATTACGTAAATTATTAAACAAAACCCAAAATTGTTATCACGGATGATTTTGTAAATGTGCTTTTCATGTATTCAACCTATTATAAATTAAGTTAAAGGGAGTGACCGGCAATGTATGGTAGTTGAACTGAGAATGAAGTATCTGGAGAAATTTTTCAGGATGCATATAAAACGTTTTAATGGTGTATAATTACATCATCCATTTTAGTGGTTAAGTTTTGAAAATCAGTTTTATAAAAGTTATTCGCTATAAGGGCAAAGAAAAATGTATTAAGATTCTACGGGAAACAACTTATGTTGTGTTAAAACAGACTTAGAAAATAGAAATTAACTTTTATCATCGAAAATAAGTAATCTTATTGAGATATTGGTATTTGTTATGTTTCATTGTTCACAAATATTTTCTGTCTATTGAAATTACGACATTTGAAGAATTCGTAAAGAATAAGAAATTCAATATAAAAATGAAAATGAAATAATTGATTCTAACATTGATTTATTGACAAATTTATATTTAGAAACATGTGCGTAAATTAACAACCTCCTGTGATCAGTATCTGTCATATTTATTTTATAATTTTATTCAAACTTGGCTGACATTCATCAGGAAAAAATTTAAAATTAGTTTTATTTTCAATCATCTAATCATTTTCCACTGGATAATTGCATTTAAAAAATAATTAGATCTAATTAGATTAACGCATTTTTTTACAGCCGTAACAAAGTGTTACGTCGCACCACAGATTAGATATAAACAGACTGCTAATTAGCTTTTATAGGCTGGGCTAATTGATGGCCTGTAGTCGTACCGGCACGACATGCTTTATTCCTACAAAAGGTTTTTTACTTCCTTTCTTACCGCCAATCATTGCATATAAAACACATTCAATGGTTAAGTTTTTCGTATTGTTATAACTGTTTAACTCCAAATAAAAATATTATGAAATATTTTAGCCTCATTTTTCTTTCTCTGATGATGCATTACGGACACCCCTATCCTGTACACGTATTTATTAAAAATTACAAAAATCGGAATAATTTAAAGTTTGCGTGCATGCCGCGTAAACGTACAATGTGCTTGCGCACGTGGGTCTCTCATGCATGATATTTCTCAATGAATCAACTACACTTTATGCAACTTCTGGTTCAATTCAAACATTACAGGCATAGCAGAAATATTATTGGTTTGAAAAATTGCATTCTGAAATGCCATTATCTATATATATATATATATACTTTGCTTGTCTGTCTGTCTGTTTGTCTGTTTTATTTTGTATCCAATAAACGTCCACACGGCGGAACCAATCGGGCCATAATTTTGTGTGGGCCCTCAGATGACCCAGGGGAAGGTTTGTGAATGATTAAAATTTCAAAAAAATGAGCCTCCTACAAAATTCGATTGTCATTAAATTTTGAAAATCCACGAAATTTTTAATAAAATCCGCAAACTTTTTTGTTTGTTTTTGTTTTACAATGTAAACAAGAAGAAAATGTTCACAATTGAAATAGAGGATGGGCATGGCATGAAGCTCCCTGAAAGCCTAGTATGTTTAAATGTGACATACAATACATTGACAAATACTGCAAGTGCTAATACGTGAGGACCAAAGCCCCGCCCCCCCCCTGAAAGTTTAAAAGTATGGTGTTCATGGTCCCGACAAATTCGAGTATACACCCAGCTGGCATTAAATATTAAATAATCAGTAGTATCCCTCTCTCTGTAAAAGAATCAAATATTCTTTAAAACGGCCTTTAGTACGCGTAACTTTAAGTGACGTTGCAATCTCAATGCAAAGATAACAATTCGCGATGGTATCCTCGAATCCTTTATCGTATCAAAAATGTGTAAGATATTTATCATTTTTCTATGTTTAAAACTTAAAAGTGTTTAATTCTGATGATTCCTATATGATTTTCTTGCAGTAGAAATATCCAAGTCACTTTTGAAGGGGAAAAAAGTTTTTAAAATCTAAAAAATTGGAATCCAGTTCAAACTTAATGAAATGGCTTTTAAGGTTACCGTTGTGAATCTGGCTTTATGGAGGATCACTTTTACGCTTACAGTCCATTAAATACGTTTAACAGTTTGAAATGTTTCGTAATTGATACACTACAAACTTTAAACACATTCGGATTGATTTTTAATTTTAATTTTGATAAATTTTACCCATATAAACTTGGAAACTTTTTTGTTTTTTGACAAATAATCATTGCATATTTGCTAAAGTAAAATTAAACCCAAAATCATCAAAATAATGAAGAAGGTAGAAAAAAATACACACAGCTTATAAATAATTGACAAAAAGAACAAAGAATAAAGATCTAATAAGAAATATAAAAAAGTTAACAATAAGAAACATGAAAAATAATTATCTGACAAAAAAGAATCTACATGAATATGATCAAATAAAGAATGATGAACAAGGAAAAAAGAGAACAAATAAAAAACAGAATTATGAATTTTTTTTAACATTTTTTTTATTTTAAAAGGGTTTTTTTAAAAGATAATTGCAAAATTGTACAAAATTATTTTAAAGGTATTTCAGTACTCAAATTTTTTCCTTTTTGTTGATTCTTGCAAGCCCGGGGGGGGGAGGAGGGGGAAGGACCCTGAAAAACCCAAGTGGGAAACAGCACCCCAACATTTATTTTTGATATCTTCAAAATAATTGGTATTGGAAGTAGTCTACATTTTTCTTTGGTTCTAAATTCTGCCAATCGTTGCTTCTTTTTAAATTCTGTCTGATATTTCTGGTTTGTTGTAAGAAAGTCTTAGCTCATAATATGTTTATAAACTTAATATCTCAGCTGCTGACACTGAACCCATGAACAATCATGAAATAGTGACCCTCGCAAGTTTTCTAGAATTGATATTAACTTTCTTAGCAGGTATGTAGATTGTTAAATGATGACTATACTAAATAGGCAGCTGCCAATCTGTGTTACTCGCGAATGCCACAACGAATTATAAGACAAAGAGAGAGCGCCAGTTCTAGCCGCGGCGCTTGGCCCCCTAGCCTGACCTAGCCGCACCACGCGGCCCAGAAAGTGTCTAAACCTAACCTTATCCTAAAATATATACTAATCTCTCTCTTCTTATAATTCGAATTGCGGCATTCGCGAGTAAAAGAGTTTGGCCACCTACTAAATAAAGATCTATACACAATTAATGTGCATTTTCCTAGCTCTGTTGCAGGGTGAGGAAAGAAACAGTAACACTGCACTAAACGTGAAATTGTGAAAATTTGAAGGACCTATTGTCAGAATCTCCACTTATAAAATGTCATAAAAGAAGTATAGGCTATAGAGTAGATTATGAACAGTTTGACTCTTAAAACTGACGTATAAGAACATCATGGGCAGTACTTGTTTAGTGATGCATATGTACTTGATGCTTCTCCACATTAGGAGGAACCGTTGTTGATGGATATTTACATATTTTCCTTGGGTTGTAGGTCTTACTTAAAAACTGGCTCACCATACCTGTTTTCAAGGAGTGTAATATTCGAGCTTTTCCATAAAAAAAAACCCTGTTTTCCAGGGTAATACAGCATTGACAGATGAATGCATGCATTCCTTGTTGATTATCTTGTTTTCCTCTTCAATTTCCCTTCAGAAGTTTCTTATGTGTGTACGTTTAACTCGGATTTGCCATTTTTCTGTGTCTCCTAGTACTCAATCCTAGATACAAACACAATAAGGAATAAATAAAAATAAAGAATTTAATAACAAAAATGAAAAAAAAAAACAAAGAAAATGAATGAAGAGTCAAACTGTCAAGAATAAACTTCTAGGTTTAAAAATATTGGGCAAAAAGAATCATGAATAGGGGAAAGAAAGATTTAAAGAATAAAGGATTAGGAATATCAATAAAGATATAAATATTGAAATAAGGGATACAACTAAGAATAAGGGATAATTGTTTAACCTATATATTAAGATTAAAAAAGAAAAAATCTGGATTAAATGATGAGGAATAAAAAATGAAAAATGAAGGATTAAAAAAAATATTTGCATGAAATTTGCCAATGAAAAAAAAGGATAAGAACGTGGATTAATGAATAAAGGATATAGGAAGGGGGAATGTCCACCGGTTTCCCCTGCATGCGTCACCTCCCCCCCCCCCCCTTGGTCCAAGGTTCGCGCTCTGTACACTAAACGCGTTCACTGTTCATTTAGACTTTAGTCTAACTCCGGCTTCGAAACTTACAGGCTGTCCGATAATTAACAATTTCAGGTTCAAATTTTTCTTTCATTTTCATTCGTAAACTTTTTTTGGATTTTCCAAAATTTGATCGAACAATATTCTGGTAATTTGCAATTCTTTTTTAATATTCAATAATACTTTCCCATAATTTTGTGTGAAATATTTTTTTCTCGCTTTTTTCATTTTGATTTCTTTGATTTTTAGTTTTAATAATGCAGTTTGGGTGTAGTAACCATTACTGAACCTAACCTCCTATTGACCGGTCTATTTCGCCATAAAAGCGTGAATCTAGATTGCAGCTAGATGAGCTATAGGAACTAGCCAGTGAAAGTGAAAATAAGAAATATTTCACAACTAAACATTGTACTCTGCAATGAAGGTGTGTGGGGGGGGGCGACGATTCACCCTTTTTAAAAACAAAGTACCCCTTTCTTTTTCGTCCTTTGAATATGTGATTTATTTTCTCAGAAAATTACCATTTAAGACTAATAACTCTATTGCAACTAAAATCAACAAAGGTTTGTAAAAATTATACAAAGTAACAAAAATGAAATCTATCATAAATTGCCTATATATATAATATCATAAGTGAAAAATTAACAAAAATAGAAGAATTTTTCTTTAAAATTTAATCGAAAACATTAAATTTGAAGAATGACAGAGTTGATGAAAGTGAATTAAGTTAACCTTTAGTACGCATCTGCCAAATGCAGGTTAAGAGAAAGGGATGTGGCTTTAGAATA